GGGCAGCCTGGGAGTTGTAGTCTCCGGCTGCGTGTCCCGGAGGCCCGTGCCCAGCCGCCTACCCGCGAGAGCCTCGCTGCCCGCCTCCGGCGGCAACGGGGACCCCGGAGGCCCCCCTGGGAAGGTAAACCGGGTCTCGAACTCGGCACCTGGAGGAGGGAGGGAGACGGGAACCACCGGGGTCCCCCACAAACCAGGCTGGGGGCGCGGCCTATGATGGGGGTGGTGGTGGACAGTAACGGGAGCGCTTTGCAAAGCGAGAGGTGGACGCTGCAAGAAGTACGGTTAACTGTCCGGCGCATGGAGCGCTGTCCGGACTGGACCAGGTGTGAGATGATCCTTCAGGTACCCTCCCGACCCTAAGGGAACGCTGGGAAATGTAGTCCGCCACCCGCAGGAGGCGAACCCCTGCCTGCTGGTTTCAGGGAGTCGGCTGTTGACCTCAGCGAACTAGGGTTAGAGCCTCTGCATAATGGACTGGGCTGGGAGAATGGGGTAATAGCCCCTGGGGATGTTGCACCCCCGCCTTCTTCTTCACCTGTCCCGACTGCCATTGAGTCGGTTCCGATTCATAGCGACCCAACAGGACAGAGTAGAAGTGTCCTTGGACGGCCTCATTCCCACCCCCGCCCCCAGGAGAGTTTGAATCACGCTGACTTTAAGGTTAGCAACGCATAATTGACTAGGACTCCGCACTCATGATGTCATTAGCTACATTTCTTTATTTTTAATGGATTGTTTATTAAATGCTGGAGGGGATGAGGAGAGATTGGAACGCTCACTAGAATGGTACCACCACTATGCGATTCAGGATGGCGTTTCCGTAAACAAATGCCAATACACATACCTTATGATCCTGCAATCTCTCTGCTGGGTCTATATACCCTAAAGAAAGAAAGAATACAACGTGTACACGGTATAGACATATGCACACCTATGTGTATTGCAGGAATTTTCATGGCAGCAAAAACACGGAAACGGAAAGCTCTGACGATAGAGGAATGGATAAATAAACGGGTGCATTCGTACAGTGGAATATCATGCATAGATTAAAACATGAGGAGTCTCTAAGCACCACCAGATGTGGTCCAAACTGGAGAACATCATACTTAGTGAGTCGATCTCATAACGATAATTCTTAATGACACCATTATTATAAGGAGAAATAAAGAAGAAGAAAAGTAGTTTCCACACTGAAAAATAACTTGGAAGACTAGATGAGGAGGCTGGGGACCAGGTTAAGGAGAAGAGATAGAGGGGGGAGGAAGGATGGGAGGAGTGAAAAATAGCAGAACCCCATATATAGGTAGGGGGGGTTAATGGACAATTATTACTGATTTCATTTGTGGAAGCGGGCTGTGCAACTATATAGCATATGTTTGTATAAGAAAAACAAACAAAAATGAGAGTGAAGGCTCATAGTGTTAAAAAAAAAAACCCTTCTGCACAGAAGAGGGAGAGATGGGGAAAAGAGGGGGGTGCTAACAAACTCAGGGACAAGGGAAGAACAAGCGGTCTAAAATTGATCAGGAGGCCATAGGATGCTTGCGGGGGCGGGCTCAATCAAGGGCAATGTAGTTGAGAGGAATTACCAAAACCTGAATGAAGGCTGAACATGATAGTGGGACAAGAGGAAAGTAAAAGGAAATGGAGGAAAGAACTTGGAAGCAAAGGTTATTTATAGAGGTCTAAATATAGGCATGTATACATGTAAATACATTTATATACAGTGAGGGGAATAGAGCTATGTACATATATTTATTTATAAAGTATTACGGTAGCAGATGGACATTGGGCCTCTACTCAAGTACTCCTTCAGCCCAAGAACACTTTGTTCTGCTAACCCGGCACTCTGTGATGTTCATCTTCCCTGACACGACCGCTGAAGACAAAATGGGTGCATAAAACAAATATGGTGAAGAAAGATGATGGTGCCAAATATCAAAAGATATAGCATCTGAAGGCTTAAAGGCTTAAAGATAAACAAGTGGCCATCTAGCTGGAAGCAACAAAGCCCACATGGAAGAAGCACACCAGCCTGTGATCATGAGGTGTCGATGGGAGCAGGTATTAGGCATCAAAAACCCCAAACAAACAAAAATCACATCGATGGGAATGAGGGGGAGGGCAGAGTGGAGACCCAAAGCCCATCAGTAGTCAATTGGACACCCCCTGTCAGAGTGGCCACAAGGAAGAGACGAGCCAGTCAGGGTGCAGTATAGCACTGATGAAACACACAACCTTCCTCTAGTTCTTTAATGCTTCCCCCCACCACCCAATAACATGACCCTAATTCTATCTTACAAATCTGGCTAGACCACAGCATGTATACTAGTACAGATAAGATCTGGAAACAGGGGATTCAGAACAGATAAACCCCTTAGGACCAATATTGAGAGTAGCAATACCAGGAGGGTAAGGTGGGGGGTGGGGAGGGGGAACCGATCACAATGATTGATGTATGGCCCCCACCCCAGGGGGATGAACAGTAGAAAAGTGGGTGAAATGAGACAGCATTTATAAATTATCAAGGGGGCATGGGGGAAGGAGGGGGCATGGGGGAAGGAGGGGAGAAAATGAGGAGCTGATGCCAGGGGCTCAAGTAGAAAGAAAATGTTTTGAAAATGATGATGACAACATATGTACAGATGTGTTTGACACAATGGATATATGTATGGATTGTGTGTGATAAGCGCCTGTAAGAGCCCCCAATAAAAATGATTTAAAAATAAATAAATAAGTAAATAAATAAATGAAAAGAAACCCCTTCGGATTCCTTACCCCGTGGATCTAAATAATGGTCTCATCTGAGTGGCTAAATAAAAGATGAAAAGTAAAGCTCAGGTGTACTGAGAGTCTTCAATGCCAAATGCATTTCAAAGAGAGGGGAAAAAAGGATGTTCCTGAGAATCTACACAGCAAACCATGCACCAAATCAACAGTTTCTATGGCACGACTGAGAACAAGGGGCACCACCCAGCCAAGGTGTGGGGTGTGGAGCCTTTCTTTTTAATGGTTCTGCAAACGGTTTCATTTCAGAATGCATCATAAACATACTTTATTTAACGGAATGGGTGAAAATTCCCTACTGAAATGCAGAGCACTGTAGTTGGGTCAAAAGGCTATTGGCTTAGCCATGGATTAGCCAAAGGTTAAAACAGAACCTGGAGAGTGAATGCCCAGGAAATGCAAGAGAGAAGAAAGCAAGACCCGTGGTGTGCTCATCAGTCACACATTAAGGGAAGCTCAGAGCTGTTAGGTTTCTGGAGTCTGTAATACCTCGGCTCTTGGCTTTGCAGTGGGTTTTTAGGAGAGACAGGACAACTTTCAGGTTTGACAGTCTCAAAGGGGTTCACAACTGGGCCTGAACAACCACGTGGAAAAGTGCACCCACATGTGTGGATCTTGTGTGTGTGGGGTGCACAGGGGAGGCCAGAGCCCAAGAACCCTAGAGGCTGTGAGCATGTGGGCCAAGAGACTGTGGGTCCCCAGTAGGCCCGGAGCAGGCTCAGGTGCGTCTGTGGATTGGGAGGGAGACCTTCCCCATCTACCTGCCTCTGACCAGGAGCAAGGTAAGAGCATCCCAGAGCGTGCTTCCTGCCTTTATTCTAGGTGCCCCCCTCCCCCCACCTAGGTGATGTCATGAGCCTGGACTTAGTTTGGCCCGCCCAGGTGTACCTCCCACCTAGCTCGGGGGGCTTGAATACAAGCGTGCTATTTGGGGTCTTCATAGGTGTCTAATGGTGGTCTGATTTCTTTCCAACCTCTTCTATGGGGGCCTTTGCAGGCATGGGAGGGACAACCCCCTGTCCCTAAGCTAGCTCCCTAACAAAGGCACTAACATAAGAAATGTCTTCAAAGCCTCTTTGCTGGGCCCTACCCCCCAGGGTAGAGGGAATTCTGCAAGCTTCTTTGCATCCACATAAAGCCCCCCAATATCTCCTGGGATTTTTTCACCTCATCCTCCATCCACCCTTACCTTCTCCCTGAACTCTTGTCTCAACTCCTCAATGTGCAAATGCATTGCGTGGATGACTTCTGTGTTAGTCTGGGTTGACTAGAGAAACAAATCCATAGAAACTCACATGTGTCTAAGAGAGACTTTTATATAAAGGGTAAGTATACATTAAGAAAGCATCCCAACCCAGTGCTGTCCAAGCCCCTAAGTCCGATATTAGCCTATATGTCCGGTACCATGAAACACATGCAATGATGCTGAATGCAGGATGATCACAGGCTAGTGGGTAGAAAGTCTTTGGATCCAGTGGCGTTGTAAGCATCTCAGCGCTAGCAAGGGTCTCCGTGTGACTATTCCAGTTCCCAGGGCTGCATCAGGGTAGGTCCGTGTGGCTTCTCCTCAGGGATGTCTTGCTGGAAGTGAGCACAGAGAGTGTCTCTCCAGCCTCCAAGAAGGAAATCCCAGAATTTCCAGATGTAGGTCATGCCCACACAGAGGCCTCATTGACTATGACCCGATTGACAGACTAGACTCCACCCCTTCACTCATAGTCTCTCAAATTGACATGTGATTACCATATATACTCGAGTATAAGCCCACTTGAATATCAGCCGAGGCACCTCATTTTACCCTAAAAACTGATTAAAAAGGTGCTGAAAAACTTGGCTTTTACACGAGCATATACGGTATATAACTATCACAGCTTCCGATGCTCCCTGAAGCTTGGCTGCAGCCGTGGTTTCACTCACTGGCTTTTCTTCCTTAGGCTTCCCTTCACTCACTCCCCGCCTGTCCCTTATCATTGGGCATTTCTTCATCTGCCTTTCCCGTCTGAGATCATTAAGGTTTATTGTGTCAACCTGGCCGATAAACACATGTGGGGTTTATTGAAGGGCGCAGGGATA